TATATTAATCATCTCTAATTATTCATTTGTTATCTTTCATAGAGAAGGTGGAAACTCCTAAATCTCTTTTGTCGTTGGCTCAGTCCCTGTCCTATTATGTCTTCTGAATAAAGACCTCGAGGTTTGTATCATACATTCTGGCACATTTGTGTTGGTATTTAATAATTGCCTGGCCTAGCCTTGCTGAACTGCATCTGTCTCCAGTTTGGCAATTTCTCAATGGCGTGCATCAGCAGAATGCATCTTGTTCATTAATACAGCCATCACTTTTTGTGGTTGAAACCCACATTCTTCCTCAAGATACATTTCTGTGGAGAATAAACAGATTTCGAATCTAACAGGGATTGAGATAGGATAAATTGTTTTTCTTCGTTACTAATTAGAGTTTGCAAATTAAAGCACTGTGAATTTCAGCTGACTCTTCAAAACCAGAACATTAGCCAATGAGTATTGACTCTGGCTGGTGCCTGAATTTCATCTGATGCGCTCTATTTGGGCGGCCTGATTGGTGAATCTGTTCTGTGTGATAGCTATGCCTTTGCCTTTGTTCCTGCCCGAATTGGCTATGTCTCTAGAGAGGATCATAGAACCAAGGCCTGGTTCTCAGAGGGCACTGGGTTAGGATCCAGATGGTACCAGTGGTGGCTGTGGATATTTTTAAGAAAATAGACTTGCTGGTACAACGAGAAGTAAATCCATTGGGCCCTGGAACAGGATTGTTTCTAGCCCAGGCCTTGCTTGGCTCCAGAACATCAGCGTCACTCCAGGGAGGAGAGGCCCAGATCCCTGTGGGAATGCAGACTTTGATTTTGGGAGATTCCATATGCAGAAAGTGGTTTCCTTTTTTCAGAAGACATGACTTACCATGTTTCCTTTCATACTGTACACAATGACAGTTGGACAGGTTCCTATCACCGTTACACACGCCCTTCTGCAGCCCGCAAAGGCATCTGGGAGGTGGTAGAATTGTCATACTGCTGCCTGCTGTGCATGTGTTCTGTGAGACTGAAATTGAATTAAAGACCAAAAGCACAGCATGCTTACATAACTCTGAAGCACATGGGACTTTAGCCCAAAGAGAGGATAAATTCCACTGAAAAGCACACCACATTACTGGCTTCTTCCTGAAAACTTGATCTGTGGTCCCCACTTCCCAAGGATGTGGAAAGTGGCCAGAGCCCAAAGCCCCTTTGTGCTGCGAGCAGGCTGCCTGTAGCCAGAGGCAGACGGGTCCGGCCGTCTTCCATGTCTCTGCTGGTTTTATGGGCATATTTCTCACACCCCGTTCTGCTATTAAAAATAAAATGAGGCACACATCACATGTCTCAGACTGCAAGACCCATTTCCTTCTAATAAGCTTCTCATTTGCCTGGGCTTTCCCTACCCTGGAAAGATGAAATCTCCAGAGACTCCCATTATGGATTTTTGGTTTTCTACGTTTTTTTCCTCTCTGCTGTTTTGAAAGAAAATGAAGTTAGTGAGCTCTGTCTGCCTCTCCAGACACATGTACACACACACACATACACACACACACACACACTGTCTACCTGGGAGCCAGGAGTAGATCGTCTATGCAAACAGAGAAGGATGGCTTTGTCCTGCTTACTGAGGCCCACAGAAAACAGAACTCTGAGCTGATACATACCTGCCCTGCCCTGTCCCAGCTGGAGCAGGGCCAGCCTGGGTGCATACTGCAGACAGGGCAAACCATGGGGGTTTGAGGCTTGAGGGAGCATGTCCCTTCACAGCAGGGCAGTTCTGGAGTGACTTCTGTCTGAGGTCTGACTTCCCAAATCCAGTAGCCCAAGGGGAAGGCAACTCCGGGAGTAGCCCAGGCAGCCAGGTCAGAAGGCACACCCACTAAGGCCCTCATTTCCAGGAGAGGTTCTCAAACACCCCAACCAGGCCCCTCTAGGGTGTCCAGTGTAAGAATACAGGCTCGTTCGTCAGTAAGATCTAGGGCATGCAAGGGGACCCGAGAAATGAAGTCTGGCCCCATCAACAGAAGGGTACTGCCCTGTCAGAGTGACAGCAGCAGCCCAGAGAGTTCAGGATTGAGTGAGAGGGATGAGAAGTGGAGATGGCGCCTTGAGAAAGGAGTGGTCCAGAGAACAAGGGGCAGGGTGCAGCATGCAGCTGGCCATCCGACTGGCTCACCTGGGACCCTGACCTTCTGGTACCCTGCCATCATCTGACATTTTCCACTGTTGCATGGTATGTGCCAGCCCCATTAAAAATCCTACCATAGAGGCTGAAGGGAGATCAACCCAACCCATTTTTCAAAAGGCTGAGGGAGAAGCTTGCCCCGGTCGCAGAGCAGAGCCAGACTGACTTCCCTGTGGGCTGACTCCCACCTCAGGAGACCCTGCCACTGCAGCCTCTGCCCTCAGCACCTGGGCTCGGCCTCATGAGGCTGTGTTCTCTGCCCTCAGCGTCCTTGAGGGCTCTGTGCCACGACCTCAAGCTGAGCAGCGGCTCTAAGCTCTTTTCGGCTACCCGAGACTTGGTAGGAAAAACATATGGCTGCTTTAGGTAATCTTGGGCATGTTTCATTGACAAGAAAAGCCTCAGAGTGCAGACAAACCCCTTCATTCAGAATTTGGATTGGGCTAACATTTTTTCTATATTGTCAATGGAAAAAAGAAGGGTGTTTGAACAGCAGATTAATAGGGTATGAAAGAGAACACAGGCTTCCTGTTCTTAAACATTTTAACGATGTTCACGGATCCACAGAAAGGGGCTGGAAGGACCTTAGGGATCCTCGTGGCCAAACCAGCTCATTTTACACATGAACAAACTGAAACCTCTGGGTTTGGCTGCAGACCTAATTAGCTAATACGCCTGGCTGGGAGCCTAGGGTCCCCCCTCACAGCCTGGTCTTCTGTCTCTTGGAGCCCACAGTTATTCACAGAAAACGTTCAGCTAAATTAGTATTGACAATAAGTTTGCTACTAATATATGATCCTTATTTATTCAGACTCATCATCCATTGAACAGCTGTCTGTCTAGCGCCTCCTTCAGAGTGTGGGTGGGAACATACACAATGAATAAAGTGTATGAGGAGCTTACAGTTCAGAGAAGCCATGATTTCTGCACCAGTTATTGTATTTCTAGATGAGAAGTGCTAGATGTCACGTAAAAGGAATGAAGGACCTGCTGAACAGTCAGCAGAAAGGGAGGTAACTTTGGCTATGGAGAGCAAAGATGTTTTTGTGGAATACCCAGCTCTTGACTTGGCCTTGAAAGCTTGATATGATTTGGGCAGGTAAAGAGGAAGGCGAGGTGTTTCAGGTGGATGTACCAGATGGAATAGTGTAGTAGTCTGAAAAACAGCCCCCAAAGGTATTGGCTTCTCATCCCTGGAACCCGTAAACGTTACCTTGGCAAAAGAGTTTTTGCAGATATAATCAGGGATCTTGAGATGGGGAGATTATCCTGTATTACTGGAGTGGACCCTAAATGCAATCACAAGTGTCCTTATAAGAGGAAGGCAGAGAGAGATCACAGACAAAAGAGGAGAAGGCAGTATGACCAGAGAGGTAGAGATTGGAGTGATGCGGCCACAAGCCAAGGAATGCTGGTAGCCACCAGAAATAGGAAGAGGTAAGGAGCGTCTGGGGAGAGCGTGGCCCTGTCCACACCTTGATTTTGGTCCAGTGGGTACTGGATTTGGACTTCTGGCCTCCAGACTATGAGAGAATAAATTTCTGTTGTTTTAAGCCACGAAGTTTGTGGTAATTTGTTACAGCAGCCACAGAAAATGAATACAAATAGGAAAGGGAAAGCCTATTTGAGAAAGGGTATGGTTCAAGGTATTTGCCAGGAGCATCTTCAGATATTTAGAGAAGTAGTAAGACCCTGGGTTAGGGCAGTGTCTGGTATTAGTTTGAAGAGTTCCTGCAAGTTTCTGTATGGATCTTACCTTCCCCACTGGAGTGCTGGGCTCTGGAGGAGAACCACGATGCTCAACGGATGGCTGTTCTTTCTCTGCATACTGACTACCATGCTCCTCAGGTAGAGGCAGCCGATACTTGCTGAATGGCATGATGAATTTTGGCAGCTGCCACACTGGGGCTTGGACCAGGTTTATTGATGAAAAGTTAAAGCTGGCCAGGCCTGGTGCTCAGATAGGATTGACGAACCTGTCATCTTCAGACCGTCATCTAGAATTCCCCATGTCATGCCTCACAGTGGTGTGGTGCGGTTTGTCAGGAAATGCTCAGCCAACCAAGGACCAAAGGGTGGCAGGGGCTGTGGAGGGAGGGACTCAGGGTGGAAGGCAGGGCACCTGTGGTTGTGGTGAGAGGCTGGGAGCTCGCCTGCCAGTGAAGCGGCCTTATTGATGGCGGAGTCCAGTTCTCTGCTGGCCCTGAGCAAATGTGATTAAAGATCATTGGGGGCTTTTATGACACTTATCGATCTGAGGTTGTTTATAGCCATGAAACAACTGTAAATAGAGGAATGAAATAAAAACAGTAGGATACTTAACTCTGATCCTCCTATGAGGTCGAGAAAGCTTTCCGCACAGCTCCTGCAGCAGCAGGGAGCTGAAATGCACGTCTGCAAGGGGAATCTTATTCTCCTGTGCTCCTAATGGCTGATTTAAGAGGCAGCTTTCTTCTCACAGCTGAAACCTAATCCTCATTCTTTCCCAGGAAGTGGCCCCGGTTAACAAAATTGTCTGCTGGCACCACTAATTGTTTACCTCCCATAGGGTTTTAGGATGCTCATGGCCAGTTACCTCCTCCTTCCAAAGCTGTTTTTCTTTTTTTTCCTCCTCTTCTCTCCTTCTTTTCCCTCTCCTCTTATTTTCTTTTTTCTTTCTTTTCTTCCTTCCTTTTCTTTCTTTCCTCTTTTGGCCGCTCATTTATTGGATTGAAAGGTTTTGACCTATGACTATTTGTAAAGCGTTAGGAGCCTTCAGTAGACAGTCACCAATCATTTCAATGCAATAGACCAAGCCATGTGACCGTTGGACTTTCTTTGCTTTCCCCTTGTAGAAATCCGAGAGGCCTTTCGGGTTCTGGACCGAGATGGGAATGGCTTCATCTCCAAGCAGGAGCTGGGAATGGCCATGCGCTCTTTGGGGTACATGCCGAGTGAGGTGGAGCTGGCCATCATCATGCAGCGCCTGGACATGGACGGTGAGACCCGGGCCAGCAGCATCTCCCCTGACGTGAGCCCTGACTCATCAGTGACACCTTGGGTTTTAAAGAGTCTTGCACTTGGACTCTAAAGACTTAGGTTCAAGTCTTGGTTTACATTTGAAGAGTGGAAACATGGACTAGATCAAGGTTTTTCAGACAACATTTCATAGAGCTGTAGGGGCCTGCAGACGTGGTTCTGGGGCCACTAGAGGGAGCAGGGTGAGGAAGGAGCCCTGGCTGCAGGAGCAGCAAGAATAGTTTTGTTTTTTCTTTTTTAAAAGAACAGCTTTATTGAGATAGAATTCACACACCATAAAATTCATCCATTTAACCTGTACAATCCAATGGTTTTTAGTGTATTCACAGATTTGTGCAACCAATGCCATAATCAATTTTAGAACATTTTCAACAGTTCAGAAAGAAACCCTGTACCTCTAGCCCTCACCTCCTGACTCCTCTATCCCCCCAAGCTCTAGGCAACCAGTAATCTACTTTCTGTCCCTATGAATTTGCCTCTTCTGGACATTTCATATAAATGGAATCACACAATATGCATATCCTTGTGACTGGCTTCTTTGACCTAGCATATGTTGGCAAGGTTCATCCTATTGTAGCATGTATTAGTACTTGGTTTCTTTTTATGGCCAGATTGTATTTCATTGCTTGGATAGAACAGCTTATTTTCTGTCTGTTTTATATACTGGGTTTCTACATACAACCCCATTGGGGAAAAGGGTTTCACTGTATTTACAAAGTTCTAAAAAATGACATATTGGATCTTTAAGGTTCTTTCCTGCTCTAAATCCTAAGAGTCTATCCCAAACCAGCTGTGACCTGCCTGACATTTAGATCCTGCCTTGGCTGAAGGTCCAGGAAGGAGCCTTCTTATTTTGTTTTTCAACACACATTCTCCCACTCTGAAAAGCAGCTTGATTCCAGGCCTAAGGGATCCAGAGTGGTGGGCTGTGGGGCCTCTCAGGTAGTACATCAAGTACAGACTGAGTAAAAGGCAACAGAGGAAGGGGCAGAAATCTTTTGGAGGAATAGATCAAGGCCATCTTAGGATGTTTGCTTGGCCTGCGGGCTGATTGGAAGAACACAGCTCTCTCCTGTCATCTTACTGGATTTGTTGGAAAGATGATCATAAGGGTGACCATATGGTGAATGAACCGAGTGCCAACCACCAAGTGCAGCTGCGGACATTCATTTTCTGGTTCAGGATAGAGATGTTGGATCAGGGATGTTCAGTTTGAGCAGTCCCAGCCTTGTCCTTACAACTCTGATTGCGAATCATTGTGTCTTTGCAGGCCTGGTTTGACCTTGCTTTGCATTTCTGAAAAACTGAAGCAAAGCACACATTGTATAACCAAATCTCTCTTCCATTGACTCCCAGCATCATTTCAGAGATACATTCCCAGAAAAAAAAGTTTCCTCCTTAATGTAATAGAAATCTTAATCTATACCTCTCTTCATGGAACTAAGAAAGTTTCATGCTTTTGTCTCTCCTCTCACAGCTCCTATTGTAAAATCTAGTCAAATGGACTAAAGCAAATGGAATTAGCAACATTTACTAAAAAGGAGCTGGGGCTATTGTGGGAGAGTTGATGAGAGTTAAGGGTCTTCATCAAAGGCCATCTTTGTTCTTTATATGTTCACCCATTGGCCCCTGGGTCATGGGGAATTTTCACGTGATTGCAAATCTCCGCTGATCTCCTGAGGCCTTGGCATCCTGGGGGATCTTGCTCTTGTTCAAGGGGCTCATCAGGACTCAGGCCAAAGCTCCATCTGCGGTGCAGTTTAAGAGACTTCAAGTTTCATGAATTTATTTGCTACTTACTACACTCAGCTACCCATGCTGAAGACAGAGTTTTACAAGCACATCTTGTAGAGAATTTCTGTTAGTTCCTTTAACAAAAGCCCAAGTCATCAGCTGTTTCACCATAACCCCATCAGGTAAAAGCACATTTATTTCCTTTTGAAGTGTTGCTTCCTCGAAGTTTTGCTTTGTTGCCTGCAAAAGATTTAATAGAGAACATATGAAAACAGTGCAGCAGTGCAGGCACAAGGACTTGCCGACACAATTTATTAAATCCTAAGTGTGAAAAGAACTAAGTGAAAAATGCCCAGTCTGAGGCTGAAATGGGTGTCTTTAAGTCTTTTGTAAATAATGCTCTTAAGTGAAATGTCCAGGGTATTGGGTTCTGGATATGGATGGACTCAGTGTTTTTAGTGTCCTTCTCTTAATGGGGCCTTTTGAGCTGTTCTGTTAAAAAAAAAAAAAACTCAGGTTCTAATTATATCCGTCCTTCCTAGCTTCTGTAACTGGGGATCCTCCACAGAGATTCGGCCTACCTAATTAAGCTTCTCTTTGGCGTGAAACTTGTGGAATGGCAGAGATTTTTATGGGGATGATGCCAAAAAAAAAGAAAAAGAGTGTTTGGGCTGGAATTTAGGATTTTTAGCTGTGAGATGACTGTTCCTCCTGATCCACAGACCCTGGTGCCCAGAGGTTACAGGAGAGGTGGCAGTGCTTCCATCCATCCCAGCTGGCCATGATTAGGAGCAGGTCTGGCCCACACATTGGTCTTCTTTCTGGGGTCCCTGCTGGTTTGGTTTGCCTAATGGTGAGGTCACACCTTGGGCACAAGGCCCAGCTGGAATTAGCCTGAGTGTGTCTGTGCAACCTAAGTCGACACATGAGGCTTTCATTAGGTGGTTCCTTGTGAGTGGGGTGCCTTGCTGGCTCGCATGTAACAGTAACCTCCCTGGATTAGGGAGCTCAGCAAGATTTCCTGGACATGGAGCCTGCAGGAGCCAGACAGTTTCAGTCTGTGTGTGGAGCAGAATGGGAGATAGGCAGTAGGGTCTGGGATTGCTCTCATGGCCCATGGCCAATTTGACTTCAGTGCTGGGACTGAGTCTGTGTGTATCTGTGTGTGTGCTGTGTGTGCATAGCATGGGCTGAACTACTCAGAGTTAAATAAACAGAAAACCAAAATTTCTGCCCAACGCCCAGGGCTTCCTCTTTGGCCCATTACCACAAAGGCTCTTTCTTGGAACTTTAACTCAATTCCACAACCCCTGGTGTTCACTGTCCCTCTCCTCTTTCATCAGCCTCTGCATCTGAGGGGACTTTTGCTCTAACACTAGTTGGGGACCAGAATTAACCATTCCTGGATGCTTTTCACCAGGATTTCTCCTTAAAGCCAGATTCTGGAAGCCTGTAGCCCTTTCAGTCAGGCTCCTGGGGCATTTAAGCCCAGTCCCCTAAGGCATTCCTTGCATGTTGGGAATCAACTTCTCTCCAATGCATCATAGTACTAGTTACGCACCATCCTTGGAAGAAGTGATAAAATAGTCACCCAAAAAAGTGTCTCCAAACTTAAATCTTCTATAGAAGTGGGGCGGGAAAGGCTGCTAGAAAGTGACTGCGGGCTCTGCCATGCTCCTTCTGCTCCCCTCGGTTCCGTGGTCCCACGGCAGCTCCTGGAGCCCCACAGAACTTCCCGCATCATTCACTGGGGAGTAAGGGCTTGGTATCTTCAAGACTCAGTGAATATTTTTGACTGCTTTCTACATTTCAATGATTTTACCAACCATACCCCGATGGCCATCTGGAGTGATTCCAGCCAGCTTTGCAGATGGTTTCCTGAAACAATCAAACCAGGAGGCATTCTCAGCAGCGCGTGGCCTTTGCCTCGCCTGCTCACGTTTCCTGACTCGATCCTCTCCTGCTCTAGGCTGCCCTCCCCTCTCCTGCACTTAAAGAACAAAGGCCCTCTGTGAAACAAATGCAGACTTCGTCCTCTTCCTACTTGATTTTCTTTCTGCTCCTCAAAGATGGAGAATCTCATGAAATTCCAACAAGTTTGGGGTTTTGAAATGAATTCTTGTCTCTCAGCAGGGTTTGTAGGGGTTTTTTAGGTTCATTACTGCCTGGATGGTGAATTTGATTCAGTCTAGTTCAATTTAAAAAGGATTTATCTGGTGCCTATTATGTGTGAACTTATTTTTATGGTTGACAAGATTCACTTTTGGTTCATTTTGAGACAAACCACTGAGCTACAAAGAACAAAATTATAGCCAGAGTCACATGAAAGAGTGAACAGTGTCCCATTGTTAGCCTGTGTGTCCACACCTCCCTCTCTCAACTACTCATTCATTACAAGTATTAATCCTTTGCCGATTAGTCATATGGTTATGACCTTTCTGTTTTCACTTGTGATCTCCTAGAAGACAGAAAAGTATATGCTTGATTCTGAATAGCGCTCACTTCCACTTTACATTCACACACGTCAGTGTACTGATGTGGATGCCCTGGAACTGGCATAGGTCTATTTTGTGAGTCAGAATGTACCCTTCTTTCCTGTGTGTGAGGGAAGACGCTCACCCACAAACTGCATGGCATGGAACTGTCTGGTGTGAGGTGGAAGCAGCTGGGGCTTATTAGCCCAAAGCAGAGGTTCCTGAACCTGAGAAAACAGTGGGGAGCGTGCTCCACACAGACTGGTAGACTCTGAATCCCCAGGGTGGGGCCCAGGAGCCTGCATCCTTTAACAGTTTCATCAGGTTATGGACAGCAGTGTCTCCACTGACATAACCAGGGAATCTTTGCTTAAAGGAAAAATCTAGAGCTAAAGGGAAATCTTCAAGCCTGTGAATATTTGTGTGAGTAAGAAGGTCTGAGTAGGAGGTAATGCCTGAAAGGCGGATAAGGAGCCTTTCCTTTGGGAATTTGATGAAGGAAGCGGACAGTCCGTGCTCAGTGCTGGTCAGCCCTGCCTAAAAGCGGGAGACCCTCCCAGTGCTCGCACCTGCGGGGGCCTCAGCCTCCTCGCTCCACCAGCTGTGGTCTAGAGACCTGCGGAATCAGCGTCACCTGGGAGCTTGCTTAAAATGCTGACTCTCAGGCCCACACTAGACCTGCTGATTCAGAGCCTGCATTGTAACAAGAGTCCCAGGTGATTCGTATACACAGCGAAGTTTGAGAGGTGCTA